ACACACACACACACACACACACACACACACACACACACACACACACACACACACACACAACTGTGGGGAGTTTTCAGTTGGATTCTAAGCATGTTAAAGAAATTAGAGTGAGCTCAGTCCCATTAAAGACGTCCCAGCCCAATAAAACTTTATGCTGCTGGTCTTCCTTCACGTCATGGTAACTCCCTGTTGTGTTTTGCCTGTTGTGATTTTAATAGGATTGAATGTAAATAGGTGCAGACACTGTGGTCTTCTGTTTTTATTGATCCCCAATGGTCACGTGAACACTAGAGTTTAGTTTTTAATAGAGATTTCCAATGGATAGCATGGTAGAAACAGAAAGCTTCCTGTGTGTGTGTGTGTGTGTTGCCTTTTGTCCTGCAGCCAGTAAAACCTGTTGTCTTGTGTTTGGGTGAGCTAACATTGATCAGGGGGTGTGGAAACTTGTCTCATGCGAAAGGAAGCGGGCAACTTTATTAGTTACAAATTTCCTAAGTTTTCAATTGTAAATTGATGGTTTCTTAACAGAATTGCTTTTCCACTCCACTTGAGCACTCACCAAGTGCTTTAGACAACGTGTGTCAATCTAACATTCACACTCCAATGAACACATCAGGACAAGCTTGGGTTTCAGTATCAAACCACCAACTGTCTGATTATTATTTAACTTGCTCTACCTCCTGAGGCACAGCCATCCCAACTGCACCTTAACACAAATATCTAATCTGCCAATCACATGGCAGCATCTTAGTGCAGTTAGGCAGGTAGCTGTGGTCCAGACAATAACTTAAATCGCTTAGATCGCTTGTTATGCCGAAGAGCATCTCTGAATGCACAACACATAGAACCACAAAGCAGATGGGCTACAGCAGCAGAAGACAACACTTGGGTGCCACTCCTACGAACAGGAAACTGAGACTACAATTCACGCAGGCTCACCAACATTGGAGAGCCTGTCTAAGCCTGTCTTAAACTAGTCTAAGGAGCTTGGAAGAAAAAGCAGTTCTGTAGGGAATATTTCCCAGCTGGTACTAGCAAGGTGTACCCAATAAAGTAAGGATATCTTAAGGAAAAGGGGAAGCAGTCTTCCCACTTATCATTAAGTTAGAGTGACACCACTCTCATTCATACATTTTCTGTTGAATAAAAAGCTAGGAGCCAGGAGGTTTTAGCTTAGCCATAAAGACCAGAAGCAGGGAAAGGACAACTTTCAGCTGCTCCCTTTAGTGCTCACCACAGTGGAGCATCTGCTTATATCTCACCCTAGTGTGGATCTGGTTTAGGGGGAAAAAAAAGAAAGAAAAATCAACCATCGTCCCCTCTGATGCTCACTAATGACTGCACAGTTGTTAAAGTCAATCAACAAGCGTACAGTACAGTATTACTAACTCCGTGCAGTC